TCATGTTGTTTAAAAAAGATATTTACAATGAAGAAGTCATTGGCCTTGCAAAATTCTATCATGTGTTCTCCAGCATCATTTCTATCACCAAAACCATGTTTTCCGACTACTGATCCTTCCTCTTTGTTCCCAACCTTTGCATTCCAATCACCAGTAATTATCAATACATCTTGGTTGCATGACTGATCAATTTCAGACTGAAGAAGTTGATAGAATTCTTCAGTTTCATCATCCCTGGCTTTAGTGGTGGATGCGTAAATTTGAATTAGTGTTAACTGCTTTTCCTTGTAGGCACATGGATATGACCCTATTACAGACAGCATTATACTTCAAAAGAGATCATGAAATGTTCTTTTCGATGATGAATGTGACACCATTCCTCTTCAATTTGTCATTCTTACCATACTAAGCCATGTGATTGTCAGATTCCACATGGCCAATACCCATCCAAATTAGATCACTAATGTCTAGGATAGCAATGTTTATGCATTCTGTTTCATTTTTGAGAACTTTCCATTTTCCTAGATCAGATTTCGTATATTCCATGTTCTGATTCTTAATGGATGTTTACAGCTGTTTCTTCTCATTTTGTGTTATGTCCCATCAGCAAATGAAAGTCCCAGAAGCTTTATTCTATTTGCGTCATCGCAGTCAGCTCTACTTTGAGGAGGCAGCTCTTCTCCAGTCGTATTTTGAATGCCTTCCAACCTGAGGGACTCATCTTCCGGCACTATATCTGACTATATCTGATATTCTGGTGCTCTTCATCACATTACAATAGTCAATATTCTGGTGCTGACAGTGTTCTACTGCTATTTATAAGCTTTTCAGGGGCTAAACCTTCAGAAGTACTCGCCCCACCTTCTTCCTAGTCTGTCTTCGTCTGGAAGCTCATCTGAAACCTGCCCACCATCAGTGACACTGCTAGTATTTGAAATACCAGTGGCATAGCTTCCAGAATCACAGCAACACACAATCCACCACTATACTTGTGCTTTATTGACTATGCAAAGATATTCGACTGTGTGGATCATAACAAACGATGGATACCATTATGAAGTACAAGAAGCAGTGGTTTCAACAGAACAAGGGACAGTGAAGGGTTTAAAATCAGGAAAGGTATGCATCAAGGTTGTATCCTTTCACCGTACTTATTCAACCAGTATTCTGAGTAAATAATCTGAGAAACTGGACTATATGAAAAATGCAACACCAGGATTGGAGGAAGGTTCATTAACAACCTTCCATATGTGGACGACACATCCTTGCTTGCTAAAGTGAAGAGGACTTGAAGCATTTGCTGATGAAAATAATTAATATACAGCCTTCAATATGGATTACAACTAATGTAAAGAGAACCAAACTCCACACCACTAGGCCAATAAATAACATTATGATAAATGGAGAAAAGATTAACGTTATCAAGGATTTGATAATGGAAACAGCAGTCAAAAAATAAAATGACATAATGCAGGAGGCAAATCTGCTGCAAAAGACCTCTTTAAAGTATTAAGGAGCAAAGATGTCACTTTTAGGACAAAGGTGCCCCTGACCTAAGTCATGGTGTTTTCAGTCACCTCATATGCATGTGAAAGCTGGACAATCAATAAAGAAAACCAAAGAATTGATGATGTCTTTGAATCACGGTAGTGTCAAATACCAAAGAATATTGGAAGAATCATGGACTGCCAGAAGAGCAAACCAATCTATCTTGGAATAAGTGCAGCCAGAATGATCCTTAGAAACCAGGAGG